ATACCCACCACCCACAAGTTAGAGCAGGAAAGGTTTCAGTTCAGTCCACTGGCTGGAAAGCAAGGCAGCATGGCAGAGGGGGATCCATCACAGAGCAGAGGCAGTATGTGCTCCCTTGGCAGAGTAGACAGGAGGCAGGAAGCAGCACACTCCCCCTTTCCTTTTATCCCATCCAGCCTACAAGCCTTTCGGGTCGTGCCACTGACCCCCACAGTGGGACCCCCCATTATTCACACCCAGAATGTGCCAAACCCTTAATGCAAAATCGATCACACCCTTAATCCACATTCACACACTCTGGATCCAGCCACCTCCGAAAAGCCCCATCTAGGAGTGCACGAGGCTCTGAGGGGACAGATACACAAGATGTAACAGGCCAGGAATGAAATTCTGGTCTGAATGTATCAGAAAAATGACCACTGTCATGGGACCTTCGGACCCCCTTCCATTCTCTGGTCTTCTCCCCTTCCTCCATTCATTCCTGTATTCATCTCATAAATATGTGCCATGCACTGTCTAGTTGCCAGGGTTTACATCCTTTTAATAAAGACGTATTAGTAAAAGATGCATTAGAAGTGATTCAGAGAAAGATCTCTCAGCTATTTGGGGAAACCACAGTTCTGTTCTTGGTCATTAGCTCTTGCCCTAATGTGGCAGTGGCAGGTTGCCGGGAGCCCCATACCAGCCATAATGTTCAGGAAAACCCACGTATGGCCGCTGCAGCCTAGAAATAATTTCCTGCTCACACAGCCGTTGAAGTCACCCAGAGCCGTAGCTCCCTTGGCTAGTGCTGTGTGATGTTACAGGGAGGCCCTGTGAGGCTGCGCTGTGTTCTGGCACCATGGTGTGGACCCACGTGCACCCTAATGGCATGTGCTGCTGCTGTGGGCACCAAGTTGAGATTACAGTTGAAAAAGCTCACTCAGTTTTGTTGGTTCCATTAATTTGTAATTTATAAATGTAATCCATGAATGTATTCCCATTGCAAAGCACTAAGATATCCCAGATCAAAAGTAGTTCCTAACGCCTATCCTAAAGGGATTGCACTGTTCAGTGTGTAGCTTTGTGGACCTCTTACTCTGATTTCACTTAGAAATACAAGCTGTCACACTCAGATGGGTACACACAGCCCTTCTAGACACGGCCACGACGTGTATCGTTGGTGTTTTTCTTACATAAATGGAATGCTTCAGGGTCATTGTGGAATTTCGTTGTTCCGCCACTGAGAACCTTCTGGATCAGTACAGAGTTCTTCCATTTCCTTGTTGCTGCTGTTTAACATACTGTATTATGAATGTGCCTTTTTCCAACTAGGGATGTGAAAGTGTGTTTTGTTTCGAAGGGTAAATGCTAAGGAATGGATCTATTAGATTTGTACATTTTTAATTATTACAGGGCTGGGATTTATTTAGGTCAGTGGCAGAGCTCATGTTTAGCATACACAAAACCCAATGTTCAATCCTCAGTTCCACACAAAAAATATGTATGTATATTGTAGATCCTTCTGATCTCAGGCTGACTCACACTCCCCACCACTCATCTGTGAGAAGGCCCTTTGTAGTTTTATTCACAGCGCTTCCACGCTTAGGCCAAGACTCGAGGTCATAGGGCCTGACTTAAAGGATAAGGAGATACAAGTCTCCCTGCCTTGGGACTTGGGCTTTGGGTACCTTGCTGTGGCCCAGAGTGTATTCATCTCCGCGGGTCTCTGGTGGACACAGCCAGGAAGAGACCCTGTGCTACCCTGGGAAAGAGAAGCCATTTAATAAAATGGTTCATTGCAGGTGTTATTTTAAAAGGTCATTTTTAGAAAGGTACTGTAATGGTCCTGATTTCAAATGGTAGATAACAAGCCTACAGTTTTTTTCTACCTCTGTTCTGTGCACCTCTGAGACAATATCCTCTCTTTGTTGTGTAGTCTTCTCGAAATATTCTGTGCATGTGTATGCAAAATATACGTGTACAGATATCACCATTTTTCACCAGTAGATACAAATTCTAGCATGACAGGAATGTAGTGGAATGGTTAAATTCTAAAGCCAAGTTTTCTCGGTTCATATCTCGGCTCTATCACATATCTGCATATCCTCTAAGCAAATTACTTAACTGCTTTCTGCCTCAGTTTCTCCATCGGCATAATGGGGATCACTGTTCAACTGTTACTAAAAAGATTGAGATTTGTAAAGCTCTTAAAACTATCTAGAGCATAGTAAGAAACATGCATTTATCTAAAAAGGAAAAATTTTCCAGCTGCCCTTAATTTGTAACAAAATATTTTCAGAATTTGATCCTCCTCCTTTTAGAGGTGTGAGACACCCCTGTGTAGATAAGACACAAGGTGTTTACCAGGTCCCTGATGACAGTGATCATCTTTCCTGCCACTAAACCACTCTTATGAATAAGCTTGTCTATGGACATTTTGCTTATGTGTGAATGTCTGTAGAATAAATTCATTAAAGTGGGATTGCTAGTCCTAGTGTTGGTAGCTATTGGCACATCATCTTCATGGAATTTACACCTGTTTGCCCTCTCAACCAACAGTGTGGGAAAGGGCCTTTTTCCAAGACCCATGGACATGGTGCTAATGGGTTTTTTGATCTTTGCTGAAGTAATAAGAAAGAAAGATGTCTCAATACAGTTTTAATTTGCACATCTCTTTATGAGTGAGGGTGGGTATCTTTTCATGTATTTCCAAGCTGTTCCTGTGTCCTTATCTGTGAACTGTCCTTTTGCTTTCTTCCTTTTTTTGGATGGCTTATAATTTATTCCTTGTTGATTGCTGGAACACTTGCAACCTATTAAGAAAATGTACGTATTGTGATGTGTTTTCCTCAATATTTCACTTTCATTATTGTCTTTTATTTTGAGATTTTATACACACACACCTAACATGCATTAATTTGTAGTTGAATTTGTCAGCTTTTTTCTATATTGGCTTCTGGTATTGTGTCATAGAATAACCTAGAACCTTCACTACTCTTATATGATAAAGGAAATTGCCCAAGATGCTTGAGTCTTTTAGCACTTTTCCTACCTTCCTAAAATACCTTTAAAGGAAGAAAGTTCATTTGAAGTGGCAAGTTACATTAATGCTTTAAAATTAAGACTAAAAGGATAGTAAGTAAAACTTAATTTTCAGAAGTGACAGTAGGTAGAAAATATAGTGATTACCTGAAGCATATTCCTTGGAAATCAAACAGTGGCTTCCACATAGATATGCGTCCTCTATGAGCTTTCTATTACTAGAGTAGCACCTTTCCAGGATTTTGTAACAGTGCTAGAAAAATCAATCTTTCCAAATGTGTAATTATAGAGAAAAAAGGACATAAAATTGCATTTTTTAAGGCAAATCTAAAGCACTATGCACCTCTCACTTAAAATTTTTGGCAGTCTGATTCTTTACTGTTTCTCTACGCCCAAAGCAGCAATTCTCATGGAGGAGGCAGTCCAAATCCAGACCACATCTGCTCAAACATCTATAAGGAGTTAGGGGGTAAAGGGCCCTGGCTAGGGGTGAGATTGATGTTTTATATCGCTTAAGTTGTACACAAGAGCAAACCAGCTGAGACTATTCATTACAAAGTCCGTAAGTGGTAAACATTTGTCAAAAAAGTGATTCATTGATAGACACTCACCAAAAATGATCTTCAGAGTAGAGCCACCCTACAAATTACCAAACTACCATTTTGAGTGTTAATTCACTGTCCATTGCTACACAGTATTACAGATAATAGAGCACCAAAATGCCAGGTTCAAATCCAGCCGGTACACTTTTTACATGTATGATGTTGGGTAAGTTTCTACAACCTGAATTACTAGCCCTCAGGATTTTAAGAGATGTGTAAAATAAGGAGGACCGAGGGACCTCATTGGTTGGGCTGCTGTGAATATGCAATAGTTAGCTTTCTATTATTGTAACAAAATAACTGCGATAATCAACTTAGGAAAAGGAATGGTTTATTTTAGCTAACAGGTTTGGAGGTTTCAGTCCATGGCTGTAGCCTGTGGCAGGACAGCACATCAAGCTGGTGAGTATGTGGTTCCACTATCCCCATCAAGAATATGCACCCCCATTGATCTAAGACTTCCCACTAGGCCCTGCCTCTCAAAGGTGCCACCACCTCGTAATAGTGCCATGATGGAGGAACAAACCTTCCTTAATACAGGGCCCTTCGGCAAACATGCTAGATCCAAATTATCATGGTAGTACAAGTGCTAGTACACTACAGGGATCTGACAAATCCAGCACCCAGGAAAGTCTTTGAACAGCTTAGCTGTCGTTGGACTTGAAGATTAAGCAGGATACCTTAATTTGGTGACACACAATCTGTGAGAAAAGGTCTCCGGTCTTCCTCAGAAGTGTATGTACCCAGATAGTATGGCGTGTTACTGAATACTAGTTCTTTGCTGTTAACTTGGCAAATAGCCCTTCAACCTAAGCACAGAGCTGCTTCTCTGAAAAGGACTCGGCCGTGGGTACACTGTCAGCCAGGCCTCATCTCCGTTAAACTTACTGGATCCTTCAACGCTGGGAAAGGTCAGACCCGCCACCGTGAGGATTTATTCTCTGGGGGAAATTAGTCTTCAAGGAATTCCAAAATTTAATAAATACATAGTTGAGAGCTATCGCTCTGTGGTCGCTTGTAACAATGTGCTGTCCTCCTAGCATGCCATAGTTCAAAGCACGTAAAAGCTAGTAATACAAAGCGTGAACACTGGCCTTTTGAAGTCCTTTTTTCACTGGTATAAGCATCTAAAATAGCTTCTGGAAAATCTTTGTCAAAAACAGTACGAGGGTGACTGCGTCTTTAGCCATAGCTCTGACTTTGGGGAGCTCAGGGAAGCAATCAGGGAAGCAACCTAGTGTCTCCTCCCAAGCCCATCGCAGTCCTTGGGCTGTGGAAGGAGTGAGGCAGTGGTGCGCCTGTGGATTTGGGCTCAGAGGGACAGAGGGCCTTGGGCGTGCTCATTAACTCAGCTCCTGTGGGTCTGTGTTGCAGGGATCATGTATCGCAAGTCATGTGCGTCCTCGGCGGCCTGTCTCATCGCCTCTGCCGGGTACCAGTCCTTCTGCTCCCCAGGGAAACTGAACTCAGTGTGTATCAGCTGCTGCAACACCCCTCTTTGCAACGGGCCGAGGCCCAAGAAAAGGGGCAGCTCCGCTTCGGCCCTCAGGCCCACGTTCCCCACCACCGTCCTGCTCCTCACCTTAGCCCTCGTCTTGGCACACTGTTGAAGCTGAAAGGAGCTGCCACCCCGCCTGCATTGATCTTCTGGCCCTGGTCCCCACCTCCCTGAGTTTATTCTGAGTGTCCTTTCATCCTGGGGGGAGAGGAGTCTGTTCTCTCTTTGTTCATTTGCAAATAGTGAAAGAGCTCCCTGGAAAATAATGTGTGCTTGAAGCGAGAGAGTGGTGCTAGGTGCAGCGCCCCTGCCCACGGAAACCAGAGTCCAGGGTCTGTTGGCAGAGGCAGAATCAGCCCTTAGAAGCCAGCAGCTCGGGTATCTGCCCTTTCAGAAGCTTTTAACCTCCCTGTGTCCCGGACGGGGGTGCAGTTTATCTTGGGGCTGAGGGTAACGTTGCTTGGCGGGGGCGGGAGGGCCTGCTCCCACTCAAAGCTTCCTCCTGACCCTCACACCTCGAGCTCCTGAAAACCATTCTCGGCCGCAGAGGTGCCCGAGTTGGGCTGTGGTGACTCCTGACTCAGTGACCGGGGCTTCATCTCGGGCGTGGCCTGGCTCTGAAAAGTGCTTAAGAAAACCTTGTTAGTTCTCCTTGCAGAGGAATTGCGGTGGGAAGCCAAGAAGATGAGCGGGCTGCGGGCGGAGCGCGACATGTCAGTGCTGCAGCTGCCCTGGGCGCGCAGACGTCTCTCCTGGTTGGCGTGGGGCAGCGTCAGGTGGCAGCGCAGCACCTGCCCGAACACCCTGCGGAACTGCAGTGAGGACACGTTGTACAGGAGAGGGTTTACCACCGAGCTGAGGAAGAAGAAGGTGTCCGAGAAGGGGAGCAGGATCATGTACGCCCGGAAGTAGGACTTGGTCCAGTCGTGCTTGGGCTTGGCTGCGGCCATGATCCTGCGAATCTGGTTGGGCATCCAGCATACGGCTAACGTCACAACAATCAGCCCTGAACAGGCAGGAGAGAGGAGGGGGGATAAAGAGGCAGCATGAGAACAAAAATAAACAGAAAAGCATAAAATATTTAGCCCCTCAGTTCTGTGCTTACTGGCCAGGAAATGGTACCAATTTATCAATGTTGTGCTTGACAGCTTCTTTTGCCACCAGCAAAAGGGAATTTAACACTGTTTCAAGCTCGGGGGAGTTGGCTCTATTAAAGACCATTAAATGCTTTAGACAGTGTATTTATACCTGTTGATGCCTGTTAATTTTAAAAATGTTTTCACTGTTGCTCGTGTATCCAGAAAATATTTTATGTTGTCCATAAATCTGGTTTTGTCTTTTTGCTTTAAAGAAATAGATGTATACACACGGTACAGCCATATTAGATGAAACAGTATTTATATTTTAAAGAATATATGCATAAAGAGGACCCCGTGATATGTTTCCCCTTTGGTAATGAAGAAGCATATTTAACAACGCCGACTTTGCATTTGATTTTAGGGGAAGCAAAATCAAGGCTGGTGCATCACCGAGAATGTTTTTTGGATATACACGTGCTAGGTGTGCACTGCTCTAATCATGAAACTGACATCTGCAACAGCCCCTCTGGTTCAGTTCCGTCACTCTTAGGTACATCATCTCTTCCACCTTCATGTGGGTGAAAAAAATTCAGCAAAAACCAACAACAGAAACGTCAAGCTTAGCTAGGAACATGCTCGTTGCTTTTGTGGCACTAAATTGCAACGTTGGCGGCCTGGAAACCATCAGGCCCTTGAGGAGAGACATTGCTCAGTGCCCCCTACGTGGACCAGCTGCTGGCTGCACGTACACGCGTTTGCATCCCCATGCGACTGCATTCTGATTGTATGATCATCCCTGCATCTGCAATTTTGACAGAAAAAGATGTTCTGTCTCTCACGAACAACTGAAGTCACAGTTGTCAAAACAAGAGTTGATCTACAGAGAGAAAATAAGGATCAGGGCATTTGCTTCCCCCAACCCTTGGAAGCTAAGAACCCAGAATCGAAGTTCTCACATTAGAGAGCTGACATCTTAATATTTACATTTTTAGGAATGCTTTCTTTCTCTCCAAAATTTGAGTCCTAAGGAAAATTCATTTACATTTTCAACATGATTTTCTAGGAAACTGCAAGGAATTCGTAGGAGTAACTGATGTCTGCCTATGGTTGATGGTAAATATTTCAGTAATAAATAGTCCAGGAAAAAGCCATTTTCATGCATCCAGGGTTGGCTTGCCTGAACACCCCTTACCTGGTGGCTGAGGGGCCCCATGGCACATTCTCTGGCACCAAAATAGCTCAGTTTCCCCAAATACCAGTCTCCATAAAGCCCATCTCTCAGCACGGAGGGCCTTGGGAACTGTTCCTCTGTCAATTTCCAAAGGTTCTTCCTGTCAGACCGCAGCCCTGGCTTAGAAACCTAAACCGATTTGCTTATTTCTTCCCTTTAAATTTGCTACCCTGAGTACAGTCAGTAAATCTAAAAATAAAATAGGCAAAGTAAAACTGATTTGATGAAAAGGCAAAAAAATACTATCTTAAGTCAAGAGTCTATTCCTAATCACCTAGTTACAGCTGCTGGAGGAGAAGGGGGAAAAACATTTTTCTGATTAAAAAAAAATGCATGGAAAATCGCGGGCTTTTTCTTCTTCACTGCTTTGAGGAGCACAGATGCTTCCAGACACCTGTGCTATGCCAAATTTGTTTTCAAGTTTCAGCTCCATGTTTTCATCTCCTGTGACTGAGGGAGCAGTTCATCCCATTTGCTGTAAAGAAGCTAGGAAATTTGCCATACCTGGGCGAGCTGTGTGTCCTCACAACGCTTTACATTTTTGTTCTCTGTCACTGAATTCCACAGAACAAGTGCAACCATCTTCATCTAAGGAGCTATTTCTCAGAATATGGAAGTTGAGGGCATGATTTTAGAGGTATGATGTGCTACACTGTGGGAGGCTGTTCTTCAGCCAGCAGAATCTACAAAGAGGAAGACACACTCCATGTACTTGCCACTACCGAAGAGAGAACAGCTTTTAAAGCCAAAGGGCAAAGGCAATGCCAAAAGGAAGGGCTGTGGGACAAGGGGAGAGGAGTTACACAATTACTTCGGCCCTGTGTGTCTCATACTCATGTCTTCCTTACCTGATCCTTATTCTTCTGTAACTTCCCACACACACTTGCCTGGCCTCAGTGGTCTTTGATCATCCTATCAAGAGAAGCAGAGCTTGGTAAAAACTAAGGCCCGAATCCAGATAGAAGAGAGGATTGGGGCAGATCAAGACCTGTGGCTTGGTTTGTAGTTTCAGCCAGGATAAAATTCCTGTTCTGAAATGAAAATGAGCTAATTAAGTGAGAAGCAGCTCATTCTGAACATGTGGCAGCAAATGGGGGGCCAGATGAGAGATCCTCAACAAGGAAAATAGTTTTTCTGGGTCTAGAGTGGGTAGGTGTAACAGCAAGTACAAACTTGAACAAGAGACAAAGGATCTGCATAGAAATGGACCAGGCGCTTACAATAATACATCAAGCAGGTCTTGAGATATGAGCAAGAATAATGCTGAATGGTTTGTGTTTTCTCTGTTCTAAGCACTCTACTTATTTCCCATGCATTTCTCATCCCTGAGAACCTGGTGAATGCTGACCTATGAGGTAGACAAAGTAGCTTCATTTTGCAAATGAGAAAGTCAGCACCCGGAGATTCGTTGTAGAAATGCCACAGCCAGGACCCCATGAGCCCCAGACCCCGAAATCTATGATATCTATTTTTCAAGACACAGTACTTTCAGTTTCTCATGAAAATACAGATACATACAGTAAACATTAACTACAATCCCGACACAGCAGACCTGTCTGGTGAAAATACAGTATGGAAGCAAAATTTAAAATTTTTGAATAATCATATTCAAAAAGATGAGATCAAATTTAATATTTAATTCAATATACAGGCGCTGCAACTTCACATGTGATTTCAATATATAATCAATACAAAAATGGTACATTTCTGCATTTTTTTATACTAAGTCTATTAAACTCAGTATAGCTTTTGCTTTTACAGCACATCTCAGTTGAGACAAAGAATATGGCTACTGTCTACCATATAGAACAGTGCAGATGAAAATAATCCTTCCTAGCGCTTGCAAAGTAGTAAGCTTACCGGTTTCCTTCTCTTCCCATTCCCCTACATGTCCCTTTCCCAGGCACATACACACAGTCATGTCAACTCAAGCAAATTCCCCAGAAATCTCCCACATAACCTATATTTGCAATATAATGCAAAACTCTGAAACCTGATCCTATTTTCAAGTATGATTTCTCGCCTATAGTATAGAACAGGTTTATCTGAAGGATTTCCATGGAAAGGAACTCCAAATTATGTAAAGTTTAAATAATTCTGGAAGTACACAGCTATATTTTGCACTTCTCCGTCCAAAATTTGCCTAGCCATTCTACAATAGTGCAGATTGTGCCAACTACCTAGAGAGGCTATTGAGATATACTTCCCTTGCCTCAACTAGAGGTGGGAAAAATGGCTGGTGCCTTCTTGTTTTTTTGTTTTGTTTTGGTTTTTCTGGTACCAGGGATCAAACTCAGGACCTTATGCTTTAGAGGCAGGCAGCACAACCACTGAGCTAAACCCTTGGCCCTCTTCTTGTGTTTTGAAAGCTAACTTTTGTTCTAGAAAATGGGGCACGGGGGGTACAGGTACACCAAATGTGAGGCATGGATCCACGGGCAGTATGATAGAGATTAGCCTCACTCGGAAAAGGAAACCAGACCAGCTCCCTTGTGAAATCAGTCATTTTATAATGACAGGCTCATTTTTACATTTGAAATGCAGAAGTTCATTATTTTAGGTGATATACTGTTGAGGATAAGTACCATGTCCAAAGGTAACTTTCTATTCTGGCTGTTTACAATTGGATCAACTTCAGTTCCAGCTGCTTTGTAGCCAAGACAAAGCTGTAAAGTCTTATTCATGCTTTAATAGAATGTATTAAAGACTTAACTAAATTTATGTTTGGCTGCAATCAATTTGGACTTGTGTATTACATTGGGAAAAAAATCTATAACGCTTTGGTCTGTGTGGCACAACATGCAGCCCACAGTTAAATGACTTCAGTGTGAACTTGAATGAAGCTCAGTGAACTGAACTCACTCATGTAAAGCAGGTAAACAGTTTTAACCGAATTATTGATAGATCTGTATTATATTCTAGACAGCCTTGCACTCTCGATTGTGAAATACCTTCATATCTGTTTATGTACATAAGACATTTTCATTTTTCCTTCTTGATCAGCACACTAAAATGACAACAGCCATTAGATAATGACATAGGTTCATCTTTGACAGAGTACTGTTGTTTCAAAACCAGATGTACTACAGCTGCCCAACAACATCCTGCACTGCAGCCTCACATGACAGTAGTGTTCAAGGCTGCCTTCTTGGTATAACTTTCAGAAATGTATTAAGTTCTATCTGGGACATGGCAGAGTTGATGCATCTGACCCTCGCCACCCACCACCTTTAAGGTGAAGGTATCTGTGTGTTCGCCATCATTCAGCTTAGCATCTGGGAGAATCAAAGAGCAAGAACACTTAGACTAGTCCATATCTTAAAAGTGAGAAAACTGAGGCCAAGTGATTTGCCCACAATCTTGTAACATCACCTCACCACACTGCTCAAACTCAGGATTTGACCCTTGGTGGTACAGTGAGGTTATTTTTTACTGCAGTTTCCACTACCACCCCCACCCCACCCCCAGTTTTAGGCTCAAGTGCTGACTATAACATGAGATCCAGTGACATGCAGGTCAATACAACATCCCCCCCATGGTTCAGCTTTAGAACCAGATTTTCCACGAATAGGCCTTTAGCAAAATTTTGGGATACATGTTTCCCATGAAAAGGAAAATAAAATGCAGTCTAAGGTAGCTGAAACATGTTTAGCAAACAAAATATGACTTCAGGTCATGACCTGGTGACTTTGCCTAGCAGGAATTCATCTGTCTATCCATTGGGCCAGCCACCCTACCTGTTCATCCATTCCTTCATCAAATCCATTTGTCTGTTACCTATATTCATCCATTTATAAAAATACCTACTCTAAAAAGGATATTTCATTAGCATTAAGCAGAAAAGATCTGGACACTTAATCTTCCCCCAACAAAGTAGGTTGTATGATTTAAACAAATCCCCAAGTTTCCCTTTTCCATCTGGCATTAGATTTCCATTATTGAAGACTTGGGAGTACAGTGGGGATGTTAAGGGTGATTTGGGATTTATTATGACTAGTTTTTTTTTTTTTAACTTTTCCTGCTATTTTGCAGTTTTAATTCTGGTCACAGCAAGCAAGAATTAAACATCCCCCATTGTTTTCTGATTTATATGCCCTGGACTATAGTCACTAGGTAAACATTTCTTGATTGGCTGTGGTAAACTCTGCCCCAGGTTCTGATGACACTAGGCAAGATAGCCACAGTGTGGTTTCCTGAAGACCATGGCAGGGGTCTGAGCAGTGCAGTATGAAGGCAAGAACAGCCAGCTAACTTCCCCATAGATAGCAACATTCAGGCTGGACATTAAAGAAGAGAAAGAGCCCAGGCAGACACAGCCGTGACAGGAAATGGAGGGACTCGATGCAGTTTACCTTCTGAGAGCTCCAAGGCTCAGTGCGGCTGCGACAAATGAGTAGGTGAAGACAATGGGAAACCAGAATGGCTAGAGAACATTCATCAGGTTTTGAAGATAATAAATAAACCTGCATATAGTAGGGTGAGGAACATTTGCTATTAACTGACATTTAAATAGCAATTGCCAGTGGAAAGTAAGCATATGGTTAGTTGAATGAAAAGCCAAGAAGAGACAAATACATCCAATAAAATGTTTTAATGCTGTCTCAATTTATACGTTAGTGTTTGCCTATCTGCTTCTACAAGCCAGTTGAGACCTTGATCACATTCATTGACCTTGTCTGACCTGAAAAGCCCAATTCAGTACCAACCGTTGCACAGTTTCTAACCTTTAAAACAGTAGGTCACAAGGAGGGGTCCCTAGGATAGCAGCATGAGCTGCATCTAGGAACTTCCTAGAAATGCAAACTCAGGGTCTGAGGTAAACCTACAAAATCAGAGGGCAAGGCAGGAACCCAGCAATCTGGTGTTGACAAGCCCTCTAGGTGATTCTGGTTCTTACTCACATTGGAGAACACTAGTCTAGGAGAGCGCAAACTGAGGTGGGGCCCACACTACTGGGTGCTGGCCCATTCTCTGCCTCTTTCCTGCCTTTGGAGGTCATATTTTAATGTATATCCGTATCTGAGCTGACAGCCACGAAGAGCTGCCTGCCTCTCGGGCTTCTCTCCTTCATAACCACCCTCTCAGTCCTGTCATTCCGGGCAGCTCTCCCCATGCCCATTTCTAGTTGTCTTTTGTTGTTGTTTCTTTTGCCTCTCTCCTTTTCCTTTCCTCATTTCCTCCACTTGACTTTCTCCCCTTCTTCACAAGCTCCTCCAGTATATAAGGCATCTCTCCTTCCTGTTCTTTGCCTTTTCTCCCTTTTTCCTCTTCCATCTTTTCTATAATTACAACAAACCAAGTCCTGTACAACGTTGGCAGCACATACATCTCCCTTTCCATTATTTTCTCAGCCTTGAGAAGGCACCTGATTCAGCTGCAGGAAGTTCCTTACTAGCTAACAAGTGGCTGCCAGGAGTGCCACCATCACCACTTACTAAGTTTGCCCACACCAAGAAGAGAGGCTTCAGATACAATGCAAATGGGGCAAATTTGGTCACAAAATGCATGCACCCACCACTGAGAGCCAATTCCATGACCCATAGCCTTTGAACCTGCAAGGACTTGCTTGGATACCTGATGGTGACCATCAACTCAGAGACCTTTCTTTAAACATATCTGTCTTCTTGTCCTATTTCTTACTGAGACATTTTCTTTAGGAGAAGACAGAGCTACTGGGGCTTGGTTTCAGAAAAGGGCACAGGCCACAGCTTTAAAGTGATGTACATGCCACAGATGGCTGCTTCTGTCCATGAAGACAGATGGTTTGATGTCCCATCCCTTGCCCTCGCAAGGTGACAGAGTGCAGGAAAGAACACTCTCCCCAGTGTGACTCCATCCACTATGTGGACGCCAGAGACCTCTGAAACATGGCACAGAATCAGAATCTAAATGGCCTGCTATTTGCTAAGCATCCCATCCATCTCCTTGTGTTCTAGAAGCTTCAGTACAAGAAGAAAACTATAAATTGCTACAGTCACATATATATATTTCTAAAATTAGCCCTCCTGTCCAGGAGCTGTAGGACAATCACTTGCACTCAAAGTCAATAGCATTTAGGGTTGTCATTGTGGTTTAGTGCCTCCGTTCCTTTATGATGCATGGTAAATGAACAATTGGAACCTGTTAAATAAATATTTTTCTATGTGGATCTCAACTGTATGTGGCTGTGTGGCTTTCTATCCAAGCAATCGGCTATAAATGCAATGATAGTAAAAGCCTCAAGTGTAATAAGTTTATAGAAGCCTATAGCTTTATTTTGCAGCACAACAGACAAAACCAAAAGCTCCTTCCCTGGTAGCACATGATGCAGCAGTGGGCAGTGGTAACAGGGCACAATGCTGATACCCCTGCAAGCCTGCCAGGGAGACTGTGGACCTGGAGAAGCACACAGCTGGGGTGTCGCCCACCATGGATCTGTCCACACCAGCCAGCAGTAGACATGGCATGTTCACACTGATTAAAGGCTGTTAGAAAATAACAGAATTTAGTTTCCAGTAGAATTTAG